GGCGATCTGCTTGGGCCGGTGGTCTTTCCTTTCCACTGGGTTAGCCGCGGTGCCGACCCGTGTTGGGGTGTGGGCCGGCGGCGCGGAGGGGCTCACGCAGTCTGTCTTTCGTGTTCGTCCAGCTGCGGGAGTACAAGGTGGTCGGGCGATGCCTGCCCACGCCGAAGTGCACGACCCCTCCTCTCTACCGTATGCGGATCTTCGCTCCCAACCATGTTGTCGCCAAGTCCCGGTTCTGGTACTTCGTTTCTCAGCTGAAGAAGATGAAGAAGTCTTCTGGAGAGATCGTGTACTGCGGCCAGGTGTGGGATTAACAACACAAAAAAATGGGAGATACGTAAGGAATTCTAGCTGGTATATATAGAAGGAATTTACATGAAGTGCTGTTCCTGGGAGTGAGGTTGAAGTTAATTTTTCCTTTGGTTGTTGTGAAGCTGAGTGACAAATTGTTTTTTCAAAGTAACAGTTATATGCCCAGTAAACTAAAAAGAAACTTCCCGACACTACAGAGTTATGAACTATGTTACTAGTCAGTGCTGCTGTCTGGTTCTTATGCTTGCTTCATTGTGGAATATAAAAGTCACCTGGGCATTCATAATCCTTAGAAAGTACATACTTGTATGCTTGGACTCCTCCACCTTGATGCTTAAAGGACAGCCTTCAGAGATTTAGAACTGAAATCTTGTGTGTATTTTTCTTTCTGTACTGAATTACTAAAACTCTTCACTCTGAATTACCAAGACTTTATTGTAGTTATGTGGCTGTGGAGAAAGAGAGCAAATAGTTGGTTTTGACAATAAAACTTAGCACAGTGGTTTCATTAGAGCTCTAAAATAATTCAGTCTTGTAAAATGCTGGTGATGTGTTGTGTCTAACTGCTTTTGTGCTCATGTTTAATTCCAGGTTTATGAGAAGTCCCCTCTGCGGGTAAAGAATTTTGGTATTTGGTTACGCTATGATTCTCGTAGTGGAACTCACAACATGTACAGGGAGTACCGGGACCTGACTACTGCTGGTGCTGTCACTCAGTGCTGTAAGTACATCTAACTGTTTGAAGTATGAAATTGTAGGGCCAATATATAAGCATAAGATTAAATCTTAAACTGGACATAAAGTGTGTTGAGATGATCCATGGTAACTGAAACACTGGTAAAATAAAGTGGGGCGTTCCTGGAGAAGTGCATAGGTGTCTGTGTACAATGTATATAGTATCTTACTTGTGACCAGTCTTGATACAGTTTAGCTGAAAATATTCCCACTTCATCTTCTTGCGACTTTTTACAATTCTAGTAATGAGTTTTGCTGTACAGACTGAGAACTTCATGACATCTTAAGTGCTGTGTATCTTCCCAAGCCTTACAGAGAGAATAGCTTGGATATCATGTGGAACATACTAGCATCTGTCCTTTGGAGAGCAAGTAAAAAAAAAAATATGTGTCGCTTCAAGATCTTATTGCCTCAGTTCAGGGAGAATTAAAAGTTGCCATGGTTTCAGTTTGTTATGTTACGTGATTGAGAGATAGACCATTTGCATAGATATTGCTGTTGATATTTGAATCCAGAAGTCTTATGGACATGACAGACTGCACATAAAAACCCAAAGAATATTGTTACTCATAATGATATTCTTGTCATGTGTGCAAATATTAAATGTATCTTGTCGCCTTTCAAAAGCTGAAGTGCTGTTGAAAGTGAAATTGAAGGTTCTACATTAACTTACAATCATTCCTGTTAATTACCGTACTGAAGGACTGCTTCAGAGTCCTGAGAACTTAATTTGTCACTATACATTGATACTTTTATGTATCTTGTGGAACTAGCTGTGGATATCATGACTTAAAGACAGTGATTGCACTGCTACAGGGAGGAATTTTCAGGCAGCCTGCATGCAGATGGCTTCCTCCTGTTCTGAAAGCTTAATTATGTGGCCTAAATATCAGTTATGTTTCTATCACTTGTCAGTTTTACGAAAAGTAAAGATAGCCTCAGATTCTACCTTTACTTGCACCTGCCTTTGGAAGGGAAATTTTTAAGTTCACCTGACTTTCCAGTAATTATATTTCAGGGTTGATTCAAATCCGTTTTCTGTGCAAAAAATGAAATAGTAGATTACTTCCGTACCGTCTTGAAATCAGGCAGGAGGAATAAAGTGGCACTTTCTTGGAGGAGTTTGGTTATGAGTTCCAGTTGGCTGCTGCATGTTGCTTCTGTGATATTTCTGCCATTGCTTTAAATACTAAAACCAGTAGAGTTGATCAGAAACTTCAAAAGTTGTAGATGATACTGTAAATATTTCCTGAAAAGATGGTAGTAAGATTTTTGAACTGAAAATGTCTTTAAGTTTTATTTTCAATGAGTTCTCTTGTTACAGACCGTGATATGGGAGCCCGTCACCGTGCCCGTGCTCACTCTATTCAGATCATGAAAGTTGAGGAAATTGCTGCTAGCAAGTGCCGTAGACCAGCAGTGAAGCAGTTCCATGTAAGTGAAGTAATGTCACAGTGGCTGGTGGGTCCTGGTCTGACACTGGACTGGGAGGGGTAGCTCTCTTCTCTGGTACAGATTTCCTTTGCTGGCTCAAATAGCGAAGGAACCACACCTTTGTGCATAGATTTTTCAGTCGTGTTAATATCATTGATAAAGGTTTCTAGAACTGTTTGAATGAAAGTAAAACTAACCCAAATGTTTCTTTAGCAGGTGTTTCTTTCCAAAATTTGCAAAACCAAGGCATCTCTTAGCTCCCCTGAACTAGGTCTGATCTGTGGATGCATTAGTTCTCTGTACATAACTTAGCAGTTGAATATAGTTTAGCTGGTTATTACTAACTATCTTCTGTTGTTCATGTAGTATCTCGATTAATGCAGAAATATTTTTTCTTGCAGGATTCTAAAATCAAGTTCCCTCTGCCACACAGAGTTCTGCGTCGCCAGCACAAACCACGTTTCACCACCAAGAGACCAAACACTTTCTTTTAAATATGGAAACGTGCTATCAACTCTGTGTTGTAATAAAGGTCTTATTTGAACCTCTGACTCACAGCTGTCTTTTGGAAACAGTGTCCTGAATACGTAGGAGTCCCCCTTCCTGCTCTTTATTTTTTGTAAACTGTTGCAGCCTGCTGTTTACAGCTACAATTCCCTGGAAACAGGTGAATGTTTCAGGTGCTAACTTGAATCATCAAAATATCCTATCAATAAACCAAAATGTTAATAACCAGCTTTCCAGGTCAGAGTAAATCTATTGTTGAGCAGCTGTAAAATCCTATATCCATTTAGTCCCTTCAGCACACTAAGTAAACAGAGCTGAATTTGGGAAGAAGGCAGCTTTTTGGGCAAGCAGAACTTAGAACTGCAGGATCTTGGGATATTTTGGCCATGGTCTTGGCTGCTTCTCCCTCTCAGTATGTTTTACCAGTTTCTGAGTGAACAGCTGCATGGTATTTACTTGCCAGATGGTGTTAAACCAGGACACTACATTTACAGTATAATGCCACAGTAAAAAAAACTTTGTCACAATGTGTAGTTAGGTGAAACTACTGCTTCACGCCAAAAGCTGTTTTTTGCATCTGGTACCTATTTTAAAATGCAGTGTGTTTTGAGTGTTGCCTAGAGAAGAGGTAGGCAGCTAGTTTAATTAGTACAGGGGTCTTGTCCAGAGTTAGAGAATTGATGCTGTGTTTTGTCTAATGCCATCTTAAAAACAAATGTAGGTGGGAGTAGAGTGCAGGGAAACACTGTCTAGGGTGGAAACAATGTTTTAGTTATGGGGCCGCTGGAGAGCTGCTGCAACTCAACCGGGACAACTTCCTGTCGATTGCAAGTGAGAGCCTGGCTCAGTGTAAGGGGGCAGCTGTTCTGCAAGGGTTGGACCAGTCTGTGCTGCCACAACATCGCCCCTTCCATAGCCTCATGGCCCTGCAGCTCAGCTTTGTGCTCCTTCTCATTGCCTCCGTGTGGAGCAGTTCGGGGAGCTCATCTGTCCAAAGCATGATAGAAAAAAAGGGAATCCATTGAGGCAATCGAGGTTCTCCCAGTCCCAAGGGATGAAAACCTATGAATGCGAAGTAGCTGGGGGATACTTTGTAACACCAGGATAACACCAAAGGGTGGGAATAAAGTCACCGGTAGGACTTGTGTTTTGGAACTTTTCAATGGAAAGAACAATTTAGAATCGTAGAATAATTTGGGTTGGAAAGGATCTTCAAAGGTCATCTAGTCCAACCACCCTGCAATGAGCAGGGACGAGTAGTAGGGTCCCAATTCACTGCAGACCATCAGGTATTCCCTTGGCATCCAAACTACCACTGAAATCACCACGAGACTCAAAATAACAACTCCAACGTTTCATGAAACTTACAGTCAAACGCAAAAGGTGCCACAATCTGAAATGGCACTGAAAAGGGAACTCTCATATCCATGTATATCTATACAGAAACATATCTTACCTGCGCTATCTCCATGCAGTCTTCACCCTGCACGGCTTCTGCACAGCACAGAATTTGCTTCAGATGCAAGTTTAACAAAAACCAGTGCGGCGGGGAGGAGGAGAGCTCGTTACAGGAGCCAGTGTGCCCACCCTGAAAACCCCAGTGGGCGTAACAGAGCCGGCCT